TTGTTTGTGTTTACTTGTGTTATTTTTGACTAATATTTAAATTTGTTTGATGATCTGAAACATTAAAGTGTGACAAACATGCAAAAAAATAAGAAATCAGGAAGGGGGCCAACACTTTTTCACACCACTGTATGTGTATATATACACTGCTTTTCAAAAGTTTGGGATTAGTAGATTTTTATTGTGTTTTAAAGAAGTCTCTTCTGCTCATCATGGCTGCATTTATTTGACCAAAAATACAGAAAAAAAACCCTGTAATATTGTGAAATATAATTACCATTTAAAATGCTGGTTTTCTATTTTGATATACTTTAAAATATAATGTATTGCTGTGATCTAAGCATCAGCATCATTACTACATTCTTCAGTGTCACATGATCCTTCAGAAATCATTCTAATATGCTGATTTATTATAAATGTTTTATTATTTATCAATGTATTTATTATCAGTGTTTTGCTGCTTCATTTTTTTTTTTCTGATCAAATAAATGCAGCCATGATGAGCAGAAGAGACTTCTTTAAAAAACATAAAAAATCGTTCGGATCCCAAACTTTTGAAATGCTGTGTACACACGCACACACATCTTTTAATCTCTAAAATTACCAAAAAGATAATCAAATCACCAAGTATCATAAAATTGGTGCATACGACTCAAGCTCTATAATCCAAATCTTCTGACGCCTTATTAAATTGTTGTGCACAAAACCAAATGAAATAACTGATTATGCACAAAAAATCTTGACATCTGCCTTAGCTCAACTTCGCCTGTTCTTTCTGTGAATGAATTGTTCTTTCGAGTCAAATAATTTAATTGAATTTATTGATCTATTTCATAAAAGGCTGTCTGAATGATTCATTCATGAATCAGACTGATCTGGTTTTTGAGTTTAAATGACAGTCCCTGTTCTTTGTAATTGCATGGATAAAAACAACCAGTACAATTGTCATTATTTTTTCTTTTGTGTTACAAAGAAAATACCGTCATACAGGTTTGGAATGACACAAGGATGAGTAAACAATGACAGAATCTCCTGTTTTTGGTTTAACTTGTGGTGTTTTGGCAGCAGAAGTCCCTTAAGAGTGTTTCTATGAACAGTCTGACAAACACACACACCCTAACCATTGCTGTGATTTACCTTTATATAAAGATGTGGACACAAGGATTAATTTTCCTTTTGTCATTAATGAATGTTAAAAGTATGTGAACTAATATTCCTGGTCTGAAACAAGTACAGACAGCTGAGAGTGTCTCCCCTGAGGCAGCACACCAGATCCTCGTGAACAACATTTCAAGATCTTTCTGTATCTTTTCTCTGTCAGCACTGGAAGATGAGCAGCCGAGCTTTCTGAAGCATCAGTCTGTAAGCATCTGCTGCGATGAGCTGGGCCGGAGACGACTGGACCGTGGGTCTGACGGGTCATGTCCTACAGAAGGTTCAGCAGCTTCAGGCTCAGAATGAGAAACTGGGCAAGGAAAAACAGCAGAGGCAACTGCAGCTGGACAACTCTGAAGCAGCTCTGCACAAACAGAAGCAGAAGGCGAGTTATGACAGTTTAATTGAGAGATATGTACATGTGGATTTTAACCTTGTAAAGCCTGACATATAAAATAATATTCTGAAAACAGTTTTTTTTTTTAAATTTTTATGGATTAGGTTATTGAACCTTTTTTTGAGTATGGTATTTGATACATCATGATTTATATAATATGATATACTGAGAATATGGAGCTTAAATAAAACCACACCAAATTTGCCCAAACTAAGCAAAAATACTCAATTCAGTTCAGTTGCTGATGTTTATATGGACAGAAAGTAAGATGAAATTCTAATGTAAATCAATGGTATATTTATAACTAAATCCTTAGTTTTATGATTAAAGTTCTGTAGTTTTTTAATGGGGGGGGTTTTATATGGACAGAAAGTAAGATGAAATTCTAATGTAAATCAATGATATATTTATAACTAAATCCTTAGTTTTATGATTAAAGTTCTGTAGTTTTTTAATGGGGGGGGAGGGCAAAACATACAATTCAATGCAATGCAATGATGATTGAGAGATGAACAAAAACTTTCCTCAAAAGCCTAATGAATCATGTTTGATGCTTAAATTTTAATCATTTAAATGTTATGATTTTTCTAAAAAATGATGTATGGAAAATCAAGAAAAACCTAAGTTGCTTCCTAAGGTGCATGTTTTTACGGCTATACTAAAATGCCTTTTGCTTGCTAAAAAATTAAGAACTATCAAACGTCAGAAGGCATGTAGCAGATTGTGTGCAACATTTCTCAGCAGAGTTTTTATTATATAGATAATATATAGGCTTTAGAAATGCATGTATCAAATATGATACAGTAGGCTTTATAGGGTTAACGGAGGCACTCGAGCAATGCAGAAAAGCTGCCTGGAAGGACACCAAATGGAAAGTTGGCTAAGAGTTCCAGCACAGCTGTAGCACAAACAGTGCGGGATGTGTTATGTACCATCTTCCGCTCTGTCAGTATGAGGAGGTGCGTGTGGAGCTGGCCACAGTCCAGAGGGAGCTGGGAGGAGTGCGTGAAGTGGTGCAGGTGGAGGTGCGGGCCAGAGAGCATCTGTCTCATGACCTGCAGGTCAAAACAGGTCAGGTGCACTCGTTGGAGGGACAACTCGAGTCTGCCAGAAAGCTGACACAAAACCTCTCGCAGGAGATCAAACGGTGAGACCACACACGCAAATCATGCTGTCTGTTTACATACCAAACAACCAAATCATGTGACAATGATTAGCAGTTGAAATGTAATTTATTCTTACATTGATCCTTGCATCACTACTGTATTTATTTGTCTATATTCAAAATGAAGCAATTTTCCAAATTAGTTGAACTAACCTTTAAAATCCTTTTATAACCCCAAATTGTTTGCGGACCCCACAATAAATTTCATCAAAGATCTGTCGTCAATTACTCACCCTTATTTTGTTCCAAACCTGTATGCATTTCTTTCTTCTGCTGAATACAAAAGATATTTAAAAAAATGGGGGTAACAGATTTGGTTTTCATTGACTTCCATGTATGGACAAAAAAAAAAAGGAAATCAATTGGAGTCCCACTATCCTAAAGAGAGATCCACCAATCAGAGAAGTTGCTGTTATAGAAATGGGAATATCGCACACTCCAACCAGTCACCCACACTCAAATTTTTTGTATTAGGAAGTGGATCATGTGACAGCCACATCCTGCAATTTCATTGGTTGTAGCTGTGTATTTGCATAAAATTTAACTCATAGCCAAGGGTCTCTGGTGTTTGGTGTGCCTCATGACCCACTCTCATTAAAAATGAATGACTTCTGGTTGCTTTGTTGCTGCACATCACTGTCAATATGAATGTCCCTTAAAGAAATACTTCACCCAAAAATGAAAAAGAATTTTCTTTTTATGTGGAGTGTGCCTTTAAAGTGGAGATTTCCTGTATTTTTAATAAGTTCCTGGTTATTGCTGTTTTCTAAAGAGATAACATTTCAGTACATTTGTTATTTAAACCTAATACTGTGTTTTGTTAAATATATAACTATATAAAATAGTTTTCTTTATTTGTAATGAAGCTGAAATAAAAGAAAACTTTGATGAAAACCTTAAAAACTTCACAAATGTAAACAAAAATGAGAAATGTTGTCTTGAACTAAATTAAATAAAATGTTTAATTTGAAGTACTAAAAGTGAAATGAAAAAATTGAAATTGAAAAATTGCAAAATTGAAATGTTGAAAAAAAAAAAAACTAATAAAGATGACAAAAGCACATAACAAAGTTGCTTAACCTACAGTTTCTCTCCTAAAAGAGAACTGAGAAAAAATAAATAAATAAAAGCTAATTTAAAATATTAATAAATAATATAATACTATACACACGATACTAAAATAACCCTGGTGTGGCGCTTGTTATGTGGACTGTATCATGAGATAACTGACAATAGTCAGCCCTAAGGTGCAGTAGTGATTTCTGTACTACTAGTAGCACCAATCAGAATTTAAATGTGTTTTTGTGTAACTTGTTTGCCCCATTACTCTGTTGTATATATCAACCTATAACAAGCACCATCTCTTTCTCTGCATGTAGGCTTGAGGCGGAGCTGGAAAAGCAGCAGAAGGGAAATGGCTCTGGGGAATCCATGTTGTTTTCCACACCTTGTTGGAACATGAGCTCTCCCTGGGACAACAACGGTAGCATCCTTCACGCTCAGTCCATTAGTTTTTCTCACTTTTTTGTCTCTGACTCTACTTCAAAGAATGCAAAGTGTATCCCCTGATTAAGTAGGGGAAAGAGTGTTTTGGCATTGTACCATGCAAGAGTGGACTGATTGCATGGTACAATGTGTGATTGCATTGTCTCTTTCTGATTTTATCTTTGTGAGCATGTTCATATGCTTTTGAGAATGTGGGATGCATCTAGAAAGATCTATTCATCATTATTCTTTTGCTGTTGTTATAACCTGTTTAACTCTTCAGGTGGTTTCAGAGTGGAGAGTGAAAGCAAAACACAGCATGCCAGAGTAAGTCACGTATATTTTTAAGAGCAAACTCTTAATAAGAAATATGTTGTTTATGAATATAATTCCTGACTCATTTGTCTGTGATCTGTCTGTTGTAGCAGCAGCTGCAGTTTGGAGACGTCCCCAAGCCATCAGCGGGCGGGGCTTCCTCCCCGTTTCCACAGCAACCTCATAAATCCCCACCCCTTCTGCAACACATCCGTCAATCGGAACCGTCCACCCCCTCCTCTTTGTTTCCATGGGAACGTGAGGATTTGTGGTCCACTCCCAAAGTACGACCAGCTTCCTCGGTTTCATCCAGTGATGTCATAATCAAGAACAGTGACTCAGGGATGGAGGAAGCCTTGAGGAATGAGATAGATGGTGAGCTTCTCCACAAAATATTGGGGTTTCAGATGTTTTGCACTGAAAAGCTGAATTTTAATCAGATTTTCAGGCATCTCTGAGTAAAATGAAACCAAGAAGCTTTTTGCAACCAGCCCAGAGTCTTTTACAATGCGCTTTATTGCTTAAATTCTAAAGCACAGATTGAGTTACATTTCTCTTCCTGGGTTGTTTGAATCCAGGACATTTGCTTGTCTGCTCTGTAATAATCATAAATGAAAGCAGTCCAAAGTCACTATTTACAGTGTGTTGGCATGGCAGCCAATGAGATCAACCTGGTCAGTGGCATGAGCAGATTTGTGTAGTATTTGCATGTTTAAATAGGGAAAAGATTTTTACAGCAGTCGTAGCTTCAGATTGTGCTGGAAATAAATTGGTTGCATACCTACATTTGCCATAAGAATGTGTGTGTTTAAGGTTAAGGTAGTTTAAGGAAATGAAGTGTAGTTTTATTTATTTTGTACAGCTCTGTTTGCCCATTAACCAAGGGAGAGTATCATGTTTATTCATTGAATGTCAGGTGTATTTACATAAGCAACCTGATTATTAGTGGGTGAAGTATTCAGGCTTCCAATAATAATATCCCAGTACATGGGGCACAAAACTAACCCATCAGAATCGAACCCAAACAGAATTGTATGCGTTCTGTGATCAGATTGTGACATTTAACGGCAGGGATGCACTGATATAGAAATTTTGCCAATATAAGCGGCCAATTAATAAATATATATTTTTTGCCAATAATTAATAAAAGCATATACACTACTGTTTAAATGTGTGGGGGCTGTAAAATGTTTTTGAAAGAAGTCTCTTTTGTTCACCAATGGTGCATTTATTTGAAAGTAGAAGTAAGTAGAAAGTAGAAGTAAAATGCAGAATTTTATGAAATATCACTCTCTTCAATGTTGAAAAGGATTGTGCTGCTTATGTTTAGATTTTTTCCCCACATTCTTAGATGAATAGAAAGTTAAGAACAGCATTTATTTAAAATATAAATCTTTACTGTCTTTACTGTTACTTTTGATTAATTTAATGCATCTTTGCTTAATGAAAATATTAATTTCTTTAAAAAAAAGAAAACTCCCTGACCCCAAACTTTGGAACTATATTATATAATATGTTTCTACTTTTTTCCACACTAAATCTGTGTTCTATAATGTTATACGTTTTAAGGGATATCAAGCATCAAAACATCATCACATACAGTAGATAAGATTGGTATCTCTTTAGTACTTTTGGGACATTCAATCGAAAAGTAAAGTCGGAATTCAACGTCGTTGTTGTTATTTTCCAATATTCATATAAATGGACTGATAAATAGCATAAGTTAGCATAAATGCTAATATTGGCCAATACCAGTGTGCAATACTGACCATTGTTGCAGGATAAAATGAGAGGAGGATATTGTTCACACTGACACATGCTGGTCTTATCTGTTGCCAGAATGAGACACATTTGTGAGGTGGGTTAGTGAGAGAGTTGTTGTGTGTATGTTGAGCAAGAGAGATCAGTATTACTGTGTGTGTGTGAATGTTCTCCATTGTTTTGGCTCTTTGTGTTGGTGAGTCATCAGTGAGGTCATCTCCACAGACAGCTGACACTGACAGCTTTCTGCAGCTCTACAACACATTATCACTATTCCTCTTTATTATCATTATTCCTCTAGAGAGGCTGTAATAAACTGTCACTGTAGAAGGTGGTTGAGAAGGATTTTAAAGGGGTCATATCCAACACTTTGAAGCATTTCATTTCTTATCTATTCTAAGTTAGCCAAGCACATTTTTGCACAAGTTATTTTTTACTGTATTCATCCATCTCTCTGACCCTTAGAATTAAACGGTCTGTTTTTGCTACTATGGTGGCAAAATGACCAAATGAAAAAGATACTAATGTATATTTCACATGAAGGCAATGGAAGCAAAACCATTTTTAGGAAATATTTTAACAAGAAAACTTTAGGATCAAGATTTTTTTTCTTCATTACAAGTAATTCGAATTTGAACGGAAATAAATGCTGAATTGTTATGAAAATAATGTGGGAATGAAAAAAATCTTAATGGTACATTTTATGTATGTATTGCTTAGTTCAAAATATATACATAAGTATATTTTTATTTAAAATACTTCCTTGTAATTTTTAGGTGAAATATGACCCAGTGTTATTTTAGTACCATTGAGATAATATTATATTTTTTATTATATTGAATTAGTTTTTATTTTTATATTTTCTGTTTTCATTTTAATTTTGAAGTAGTTTTGATGTGCTATGTTATATTTTTGTAGTTTGTTATTTTAGTACATCAAGTTAAACTAAATGAAATGAGTTTAAGCCTTGGCAACTACCTGAAAAAAAGTTTACTTTTTATTTTTTTTTATTTTTCAATTTATTTCAAGTAACAAGTGTTTTTTTTTAATAGTTTGTTTTAACTGTAAGAACTGCACAAGTTATTTTTTACTGTATTCATCCATCTCTCTGACCCTTAGAATTAAACGGTCTGTTTTTGCTACTATGGTGGCAAAATGACCAAATGAAAAAGATACTAATGTATATTTCACATGAAGGCAATGGAAGCAAAACCATTTTTAGGAAATATTTTAACAAGAAAACTTTAGGATCAAGATTTTTTTTCTTCATTACAAGTAATTCGAATTTGAACGGAAATAAATGCTGAATTGTTATGAAAATAATGTGGGAATGAAAAAAATCTTAATGGTACATTTTATGTATGTATTGCTTAGTTCAAAATATATACATAAGTATATTTTTATTTAAAATACTTCCTTGTAATTTTTAGGTGAAATATGACCCAGTGTTATTTTAGTACCATTGAGATAATATTATATTTTTTATTATATTGAATTAGTTTTTATTTTTATATTTTCTGTTTTCATTTAAATTTTGAAGTAGTTTTGATGTGCTATGTTATATTTTTGTAGTTTGTTATTTTAGTACATCAAGTTAAACTAAATGAAATGAGTTTAAGCCTTGGCAACTACCTGAAAAAAGTTTACTTTTAATTTTTTTTTATTTTTCAATTTATTTCAAGTAACAAGTGTTTTTTTTTTAATAGTTTGTTTTAACTGTAAGAACTTCGATATGAACCAGAGTAGACATATATAATATACATAAATTTAGGCAGTCATATGTTAATTAGTTTGTGATGTCATTCAGAAATTTCATGAATGTGCATAGCTTATTTTCTATAAATGTTCTTGGTGGATTGGAGAGGAAGTTTTGCACGGTGAACTTCAGCAGAGCCAGAGATATCAGTCAGAATGATAGCATAAATAATTTAGTGACTGTCTGTCTCTCTCAGAGGTGCGTGTGCGTGTGTCAGATCTACAGCGTGAGGCACAGCTGGAGTCTGAGCGCTTGAGGGACGTGGAGTCTCGTCTGGCTCAGGCTAACCGAGAGATCAGCACCAAAGAACAGAGCCTGATGCGCACACAAGACCAGCTGACCCGTGCACAGACCCACATCACACAAGAGACTGACCGAGTAATTTATTATTCATTTATTTTATTTTTTTTTGTTAAAAAAACTGTGTCTGTATTGTGCATTAAATGTTTAGAACATGTAATTTGTAATACCTGTCTGCAGGCCCAGGCTTCTGAGCAGAAAGTCAAGCACCTTCAGGAGGAGCTGAAGTGTCAAAGGCAGAATGCTGAAACCAGCCGCTGTAACGCAGAGCAGCGCAGGAAAGACATGGAGAGAGAACATCAGAGGGTGAGACGGAACACATGGACACGCTTGTGATTCATTGTTTCCTGCACTGCCCTACTGCTAAATATACAGCCTCATCGCTGTTGTGTTTTTAGCTTTGAGTTGTGAGCTTCCTGTCTCGCAATTGATTGTTTTGTTTCATTAATGTAGCTCTTGTCACATTGTGTGTTATTTCAATGCAAATGTACAAACATTTTTACCTTAAAGTCCCACAATGACTTATCTGTGATTTGCCTTTTTGTAGGAGCTGTTGGAGCTGCAGAGAGAGAGACAGGCTCAGGAGAGACAACACCAGCAGGAGAGCAACAGACTCAACCAGGAGATCCAGCAGGCCAGAACACTTCACAACACGCTGCAGGCTCAGCATGACAAGGTACTAGGGCTGAGGAGTAACTAGATGTATTTAATTGACTAGAATAGTGTAGGAGTTGCTCAGCCTTTATATAGTGTAGCTTTGTAGTGAGTTTAATTTGAGTTATTTAGAAGTTATGCTTAGGGCTGGCTCGATACCCCTTTTTTAGAACCGATCCCGATCCGATACCAGAAATTCTGAGTATCGGCCGATACCGATACTGATCCGATACCAGCACACTTTTTTTTTAAATCAGTGTAGAATTACTATACCTCAATGTGTTGACCTGATCATCACTCTTTTGTGTGTTAAACACAATCTACCACATATAGACAACTTCATTGTAAAGAAAAACAACAAATGAATACATTTTTATTCACTTTTTATGATGGATGGATGCAGTTTATTGGACTTCTATTGGACTATTGAATATTACCACCCATTCACCCCCCCCTACCCCCCACCCAAGCCGTGTGGTGTACTTTTTTATGAAGAATGAATACACTTTATTTTGCTTCAAAATCTCCTCCCCCATGGGGTAATTTTCATTTTTGGGTGAACTATCCCTTTAAACCCCAAATGTAAATGTTATTGTTTTTAATTGTGTCACCCTGCTTATGTCTGGTGTAGTTTTTATTGAATATAAAATCATATAATTTAATTATAATTAAATTGAGGGTGAGTAAATCATGGGGTAATTTTCATTTTTGGGTGAACTATCCCTTTAAGCCCCTTTTGTTTTTCAAAAGTAACAAAGCACAAAGCTTGTTGTGATCATTGGTGAGAGATGTGCTTCAAATGTTTAGTGAAATTTTGTTCACACAGCAACAGAAAACAGCATAGACTAACAGATCGATATCTGTTCATGAAAGTGAAGATAGATTAAATGAAGATTTATATTGATATTGTCAACCCATCCCTAAAGTATACTCCATCTACATAGCATTCGCGAACACAGGCGTTTGACACATACACATTATAAAGTTTAATCTTTATTCAGTGTCTGCACTGTTTCTCTCTGTAAGATCAATACAAATGATGTACTAGTTTAAATTAGAGTTGCGTGTATCTCTTAATCCTCCTCATCCAAGCACCAATACGGCATCTGTTGTTTGCGTTTTCAGTATTTTGTTGTCTCTTCCATTTTTTTTGTGAAATAATGGCCAGGCCAGTGTTCTTGTGGACCAGTTAATTATTGCAAAAAATGTCCTTGATTAGAAAAATCTGACTTTGTGTGTACAGAACATGTGCACTCTGCTGATTATGAAATTAACATCACATGTACTGTACGCATACCCTAGTGTATATGTAAAAAAATGCAGTACACTTTGGGATCTAGAAACCACATAGCAGTGCTCCAGTAACCAACTAAAACACGTAGAGCAATGTAACGATGTGTGTTTAGATGAGCACCACTTGTCTCTGCTTTCTCCTATTTCCTTAAATAGCTTCAGTTCAGTCAGCTACTTTTTGTTTGGAATTTGCAGAAACTAGATGTTTCCAGAAATCTAGCCTTTACTTTAGATTAAACTGCAGCTTCTGCTGTCTGTCCTTTTCCTCTGTCTCTCTTTATTCTCTCTGGCTCTCGTTCTTTGTCTCATGGGAGCTTCAGTATGGGTGTCTGTCCGCTGGTCAATGCACTAATGTCATCTCTTTCTTTCTCTCATGCTCCCACTGCTCATGTTTTCTCACACAGTTCTATTCCTTTTTTCTCTTTCTGTTTTTCCTCCTCAGAGGACACTAGAGCGAAGGTCAGTGTTGTAATCTCAGTGTGATGTATGTTTGAAACTTATAGCATGTTTTTTTTAGAAATGCCTTATATTCTCCAGAGACTTGAGTACAGGAAGATATGGAGATGACACAGGAGTTTTGTGTGTGTGTGTGTGTGTGTGTTAAAATATCACTCTTGACACACAGTTCATTCATATTTCACCAAGTCTTTTTTTTTTAGCCCTGTTTTGTTACTTGTGTAGAATTAGTCATTATTTTATATTGCTGATAAGATACTGTGTGTTAAAATAAGAGACACATGACATGATGTAAACATGTCTGTAAATACAGAGATCAATAATTGTGTTTCTATGCTGATGGGACACAAAACTGATACCATGACCTGAATTGAAGTCATGGAATGTGCTGTTTTGAAATTCTGAGTTAGAGATTGTATAACTCTGCTTATGGCCATACTTGGATGTTTTACACATTCTCTCTTATTTGTATAGAGAGAAATAAAAACACAAAGTGAACATAAACATTTCAAATGTATGCTTTGCATGAATGTCTGATTTACATGAATAAGCCTTTGGATTCACTTCTGTAAACGTTGCATGGTTTGCACATCATCAGGTCAAACTGCAAGACACATGAAAGGGACTTTTTGCATTTTACATTCCATAAATAAATCTCATCATAGTTCCCATAACTTGGGTTTGTGTGGCATCCTGAATGGAATGAGTGACACAAACTCAGTTTACCACAAACAGGGCATGATGACAATCTGTGCTCTTTCTCTTGGCACACACTCTAATCCTTGTGCTGACTGTTTGTCTCTCTCTCAGGTGTGTTTGCAGAAGCAGAGTTTGGAGAGAGATCTAGAGGATGTGAGAGGAAAACTGAAGAACACAGAGTCTGACCTAAAAGACAGTCAGAAGAGAGAGACACAGACGGAGGCCAAACTCACGGTACAACATGCATAAGAAATACATTAAAAAAAATTAATACTTTTATTCAGCAAAGATGCATTAATTTGATCAATTGTCACAGTAAAGACATTTGTAATGTTACAAAAGATTTATATTTCAAAATAGATGCAGTTCTTTTGAACCTTCTGTTCAGTGAATCCTGAAGAAATGTATCACCGTTTCCACAAAAAATATTATCAGCACAGCTGTTTAGAATGATTTCTGAAGGATCATGTGACACTGAAGACTGTAAAAAAAGGAAATTTTCAAAGAAACATTTGTGTAAGAATTTTTCACAACATTACTGTGATTTTAATCATATACAGTGCACAGCATAAATGAGTACACCCCTCTGAATAAATATAAAGATGTATTTTCTTAATGATCACTAATATAATTCATGGAAAGATGGCAAAATTGAAACATAGTAAACATATACTTAATAAAAACAACAAAATATATGCCAATATTTTCTGTAAGATAAGTAAATTAGCCAATTTTGTTTAAATGAAGGATTGCAGAAATGAGTACACCCTAGATTTAATTCAGAAAATGTATAATATTCTAGTACTTAGTATGTCCTCCAGAACTTAAAGTATACTGCTCTGACCCTTCTTGGCACTGAGTGTACAAGTTCAAATTTTCACATCTGTGCTGTTTAACTCCTGAAGGGTGATCTCCTTAAATGCTCTGGTCTTTAATGGGGAGTGTTGCTTTTATCACTTTGATAAGAAAATCTTATTTTGCTGAATAATTTTGGCATTCTTCTTTGGTAATTGATCAAGCAGGCTTGTTGGAACATTACATCTCCAAAGAACCCTAACATGTCTTGTAAGTAAAGAGTAATTGCTGAATTTAAGTTTTAGAGGGGGGTGTACTCATTTATGCTGTGCACTGTAAATGCAGCCTTGGTGAGCATAAGAGACTTATTTAAAAAAACAAATCTTACAGACTCCAAACTTTTGGAAGGTATTGCATCTAAACGATGGACTTACTTTTTACTTGTATTGCTGTGAAATATAAAAACATTTAATTACTTTATTAACCATTTTTCTTTCTGAGAAGGTCATTAAAAGAAGATTTTTGAATTTGGTTAACTTGGGCTATTTTTCAGCAATTTTGTGTGCTTCTGTGTGATTCTGTGTCTAAATTAGAAACGTAAAAATTGTGTGCTTGCTATCTTTTATAAGTATATAAGTATAAAGATGAATTTATTAAGAACGATGGGACCGAGATGCACTGACTTTTAACCAATCTAACACGTACCTTTTCATCTTTTCTTTTACATTCATCAAAATATAATAAAGTGTGTTAGGTTACCTCAACAAGAGTGACAAGAAATGCTGTTCAGTAACAACAACACAAAGTCCAGATTGAGTCACCCCTCGCAATGTCTGGTAGATAAGGGAGGGCTGTCTCAAGTTATGACAGGGTGGGATTTTTTTGTTGTTGTTGTTGCTCATTTCTCACCCTGTCATAAAACACAAATGGATCAGAGAGAGACCCGGTCAAAAGAAAGAGACACAAACTGAGGCTAGACATGCTGTACAACACACAGCATTCACCTAGCTGTTTAAATGGAGTCATTTTAAATTAAGCTTATAGTTACTATAGACTGTTGCTCATACAGGTATTGGTATTATTACAAATACATAAATAGCTTCTTTATTTCTTCTTTGAGATTGTCCCCAAAAGTACATTACCGCTCAAAAGTTCTGGGGATTGGTCTTTACAAATATTTTAGAAAATTCTCTTATGCTCACCAAGGCTGCATTTAAAAAAAAATGCAGTAAAAACTAATATTCTGAAATATTATTACAATACATATTAAAATGTAATTTATTCCTGTGATGCAAAGTTGAAATTTCAGCATCATTACTCCAGTCTTCAGTGTTACATGATCCTTTAGAAACCATTCTAATATGATGATTTGCTGCTCAAGAAACATTTCTTATTATTATCAGTGTTGAAAACGGTTGTACTGATTAATATTTTTGTGGAAACCATGATACATTTTATTTGTATTCCTTAATGAACATTCAAAAGAACAGCATTTATTTTACACAAAAATCTTTGTAATAATGTAAAAGTTTTTACTTTTGCTTTTGATTAATGCGTCCTTGCTGAATAAAAGTACTAATTTGTAAAAAAAAAAAAAAAAAAAACTTCACTGACCCGACATTTGAACAGTAGTGTATAACTAGGTCAGAAAAACACACACATACTGATCAGAGATACACACACACTGCAACAATACCGTTACTGACTCAGCTGAATACAGTCTCAGATATAGCACCATTATCTCCTTATGACTTTTGTTTCACGCTGGGGCTTGGGTTTAAACGCTTTATTTTTAGACGGTATGCGTACAGTGTGAGAGTCATGTATTATTATCACCAAAAACTTTTATGATGTTTAAATGCATTGTAATGTTATATGCAGACCAGGATCGCAGTTGGATAACCTCTTTGTCTGCTTGAATGCTTTCATTTTGTGTATTTAGGTGTGTATCTTTTTCCAGCTTGCCTCACCCTAAACACTTTGAGGATTCTGGTTGCTTTATTTTTACTATTAAAATTCTGTTCACTGTAACAATACAGTTGTATAATGTAGTTTTATGGCTGTTCAAATGTGATAAGTGTCTTTTATCATTAATCTCATTTGATAAGCCTGTTGTGCTTTGTTCTATACATGCACATCTCATCATATCCTGTAGGAGGCGCTGAGGGATTGTGAGAGTCTTACTGTGTCTCTGGGGCAGACTAAGAAACAGGAGAAAGCTCTACAGGAAGAAGTAAAGCGGTTGACTGAAGAGCTTGCCGAGTCCCTCAGGCTTATTAAAGAACTGCAGGGTGAGTTGGGAAGAAATATCCTACACACAGAGAACTGTCTGTGTGTGTGTGTTTTGGCCCCACCCTGTTACACACATCCCATGTGTTTGCCTCCCTCTTCTGACCAAACTTTGACAGTGCACCTTCAAAAATCAATGTACAGTACAAAATGTCTGTGATGGGTTAGACAAGCCAGTCAAAGCAATGGATCCCAAATCCTCCCAACCTTCATTGTTTACATGTATGGTTTATAAGACCATACATTTTAGAAACCTGACTACGAGCATGTGTTATGTAGTTGAATATATTACTACTACTATTCTTGAGTGTCATAGTATTGAACTATTATATGAAATAAAGTGTATATATGTGCATACAATTCTCTTAAAGGCTTGTAAGCATGTTCAGCTTGTTTTACTGTATTGTCCATTCTGTCCTGTTTGTCACAGAGCAGAAATTTGTCTTTGACACTGGTGTCATACATAAACAATTATACATAAACACACACACCAAATTTAACAAAATAACACTGACCTCATCATACCATCAACATGTCCCAGGATCCCACAATAATGTAAAACAAATTGACTTGAATTACTTCAAAAAATACTTTTACTTGAGAATGAATTGTGTATGTAAAAAAAAAAAAAAATTATAATCATGGTAAAATGACTGTAATACGATGCCTTTTGGCTTATTATTTATTATTATCATTATTATGCAAATCCTACACTGATTAATATAGTTTGTCTATTGTTATTGTTATTATATAGTATAATATATTATTATCATAAGTGTTACTTTTGGTGTCTTTTGTCATATTTTTTCAAATTTCTTGATTATTCTCTTTCCTGTAGCTCAGCTGGCTGCTCCTCCAGCTGTGGCCGCTCCTCACTTCAGCTCTGCAGGAGACTGCTTCTCTCCCTCCGTTTCCCTCCATCATGACCGCTCTCCTCCTAACAACCACTCCTCACAGAGAAAGAAAGCCCCTAAAACAGGACGAACAAGAGAAGAGGAGAGAATGAAGTACCCCTCCGGCAGAGAGCCAGGAGAGGGCATCGACTCGGAGCACATTGGAAAATTTGAGTCTGAGGAATCACAGAAATTGAAAGGAAAAGGAATCCGAACGCATCCAAGTGACTCTCTGAGATTGAGTGAGACTGATGTAGAGACCACAGTGACAGAACAAGACACCGGTATTGAAGACGTGGACACGGACTCGTTCACATCTGAGTCAACCAGCGGCACAATTCCTAAAAGTGAATCGGACATCTCTTGCAGCCTACAGGTAGATGACACATCAGGCAAAACAGAAAAATGTGACTCTGCACCTCTAAAAGATCTGAAGAAAGAGAACATGGAGCTTCGCGATGAACTTAGAGATCTGAAATATGAGCTTCAGAAGCGACTTGAAGACCTCGAAACCCAGAGAAGAGCGGAATCCGAGGCTAGGACCAAACTGAAACAGTTGAGTCGGAAACACTCGACACAGACAGAGCAGCAATGCGCCAAAGCTCTTGAGCTCAAAGACAGCGTGACAAAACTGGAAGCCCAGCTGGAGCAAGAGAAGAAAGAGAGCACAAAACTGAGAGAAAATCTTCATGCGCTAGAAAGAGAAGCTGAAAAGGGGCTGGAAGAGATAAAGAGAGACCAGGAAGAAGATACCCAGCTGAAGAACGTCTTGGCTGAGATGGAGCGAAAGGAGACTTGCATGGAGGAAGAAATGACACGAATGAAAAAGGACTTGCAAGACCTTCAGCTCAAGCTTGCACAGGAATGGGAGGAAAGAGAGAGGGAGAGAGAAGAGGTAAGGAAGCAGATCAGAAAAGAGGAAGTGGAAGGACTAAAGATTGTACAGCTTCAAGAAGAGCTGGACAATCTTAGAAAATCTCAGAGTTTGAAAGAGAAGATATCAAAAGACAATCTTCCCGTCACATATTTACAAATAGAACACCATCCAAACACTGATAAGAATCCTGCTGTTACAGAAAACAAAGACTTGGTTTCTTCTCCTGACAGTCAAGAGTCCATCTGTGACTCTGTGAACCTTCAGAACACAGTGGTCTGCAAAGAAACCAGAACAGTGGAGCTGATTATGGATCTTGGAGCACAAACTAAACCAACAGAGGACAAGACCTCTGTCGCAGAGATAGGCAGGACTCAAACATTGAGTAAAAGTGCCTCAGATTTGGACAGCACTACTGTTTTAGTTTTAGAGGTGGAGCGCCTGAGGGCAGCGCGAGACCAAGAATCAGAGAAGGCGAAACTAGCTCAAGGAAAGCTGGAGGACCTACAGAAGCAAGTGACCACTCAGACCAAGCACCTTACCCAAGCTTTTGAAAGCCAGAGCAAGCACATTGAGAACCTGTTGAAAGAGTTACACGACAAAGACTGCGCCCTCCAGAAGCAGAGCGAGGAATTGCAAAAATGTCAAGAGCAAATCTGTCTTCTTGAAGAAAAACACACTAGGATGAGCATCGCCCCCAATGAGGTCTCTACGCCTCCTGAACTGTCTACAGAGATCTCAAGAGAACTAAGCTGTGATTCGGTCTTCAGCAATACAAGCATAAGCGACCATGAAATGTTTAGTGATGACACACAACCGATTTTGAAGGAGAAGTTCTCACGGCCTACTGTACATCTTCCTGTTAGTCAAAACACTGACCAAACCAACACTAGTAAGATATCTGATAAGCTACAAGTGACTGAAGCTATCAAGCCACATGAATTATGTCTCGCTTCAGACGTACATTGTGGAAATGCTCTGAATTCTAGTGCTGTTTCGGAAGCACCTGGACTTTCTGAGGTAATAGATGAGAACGCAACTTCTCTCTTGCAAGATGAGCAGCTGGACTTTCTGAACTTCCAAAATCATGTTCCACAACATTCCACAGGTGATCTCAAAGAGCTAGAATCCATATTCAAAACGTAATAATCACTTTAATCTAGCTTGCGCCAACAGTTGTACACGGAAGCAGTTCCGGGCGGATGACGTATGAGGTCAGCGTTGCGCATGCGCCAGTGAGTCTCGTGAAAACCAACGTTTGTTTGCAGGATAAAAGGAAGCAAAGTTTCCTTACTTCAGCAAATTTCGGTGCCTAAAAAGTATCGAACTCGATACCCAGCCCTACTTGTAAGATGTGCTCCCTTTACACAGAGTGAGTGTGATCGCAAAATCGAAAGTGAAAGTAAACCACGCAAACGCTCATTCAAAAATATTTAAATACACCGCATCCTGAGAGCGGCTCCCTGATG